GCGCTCTGCAGCCTCTACAGCATCGGCAAAATAGGAGGGCAGCAGAACAAGACTTACACCAAGATGCTGTGTGATCTCATTTCGAAGCACTTGCATGTATCTGCAGACAGGTAAGGCTGGGACGTGGGTTAACCTCATATATCTGGCTTCCTGAAACTGATTTCAAAAGTTGGTTTAAAAATACAAAAAGCCAGAAATAAGTCTGTGTGCTTGGGAAAACACGAAGTGATCGCTTGTGGCATTTTCATGTCCTATTAAGAGTTTGATGTTTATCTCTTCCTCTGGAGAATTGTCTGTTCAATGGCTTCCTGCTCTCAGGACAGGGAAAAATACCACAGCACTGACAGGTTGCACAGTGTCTTTTGCTTCTGAGGTGTGATGTCTTGTCCTCTGGTGAAGAGAGGCCGAAAGCACATGGGAGGAGCTGTAACAGGCTGGAGCTGAAAGGCAAAGTAGAGGCCAGCAGGCTGTGAGCAGCTCCCTTGCGGGCTGTGGAGCCTTGGGAGAGTGTCTGTGTGCAGCTGTGAAGAATGGGGAGAGCCTGCTGCCATGGGGGCTGGAAGGGAGACATGCAGAGCCAGCCCTGAGGGCATGCCTGGCTCTCTGGGGCTGCCTGTCTGTGTGACACGCGTGAGGGACTGCAGCCCTTGGAAACAAAAGGATTTGATCTCCGGAAATTCTTGACAGGCTGCTAACCGAGAGCTGTCTGGGTATCTGGGCAGCCCCTGACTGCAGAAGAGTTTATATTTTAAAAAAGGAAAGAAGTACAATTCCGGGGACTCAGAGGAATATTGACTACTTGGAGGCTTCACCAGAGAAGTGAGATAGATTTCAGTGAAAATGAAGTTTGAAACTTCTTGAAGCAGAGGAATGGAAAGCACTGTTCCGTGTTGTATTGTCCCATCTCACTCATGACTTATTTAAATGAGTTAATAATGTCACTGTTGTGTCCTCTTGTGCTTCTTCTGCAGGGTCTACATCAACTACTTCGACATGAATGCTGCCAATGTGGGCTGGAATGGCTCCACCTTTGCATAGAGCTGTCCTGTCTGCCTGAAGAGGCTGCTCCTGGACCTCCCCTCACCCTGCCCTGTAGCAGAGACCGCGGCACAAATGGCCCCGTGTTGCATTTTGTGCACTCTCACAGATTGATGGCTCCTTTCTAGTGTGTTTAAATATTGCTGCTTCAACATTCCTCTGTTTTCTCTGTGTAGAAAACAAATAAAGATTTAGAAGTAAGCTGTGTGTGGTGTAGGCTTTGGGAGGTTGGGGATGGAGTTGGGCAATTGCTAATATGTCTGTGTCACTCTGATCCTAAAGCAAACAAAAGGAATGCTTTGGATTTGCCTGTTTTTTCTCCAGCACAGTGTTTCACGGTACAGTGGTGATGCCTGTGGCTGCTTCCCAACAGCATTCCAGGGTGATTTTTACCTTGCTGTGCCCCAGTGGCTGTAGGTGCCTTTGGGACTCCTTGTCACTCTGAGGTTTGGTTTTTGCGTGTATCTGCAATTGCCACAGTGGCAGCAGTCCTTTGGCCAGCCCTGCTCCTTCAGGGCAGCTTTCCTCTGGGAACTTGCCAGCTGTGTGGGGCCAAACAAGCAAGGAAGCAGTGCTTTTGCTCAGTGAGGTGAAACAGTGTCATCCACATTGCTTACACTGCCTGCTCCAGGCAGCAGGAGAGGCCCTCGGTGCTGTGGGAGCTGTGCTGGAGCCTGCAGCACTGTGGGAAGCTTTGGTGTTCTGTGCTGATGTGTCCCGCACTGATGCTGTGCTGTCTGCCAGCCTGTCCCACACGGATTTTGTGCTCTCTCCTACCCTGTCCTGCACAGTTGCTGTGCTCTCCCAGCCCATCCCACAGGGATGCTGTGCTCTCTGAGTGTCCCACACGGGCGCTGCGCTGTGTCCCTCACACATTCCGTGCTCTCTCCCAGCCCGTCCCGCTCCGACGCTCCCTGGGCAGGACGTTCCCTCCCCTCAGGGTCCCCTCAGGGCGCGCGCGGCGCTCCCCCCACCCCTCACCAGCAGGGGGCGCCACTCCCTCCCGTCCCTTCTGGAGCCTTCCGGCGGGGTCTCGTTGTGATGACGTCATCTCGGTGCGCGCGGGCGGCGCGGTCATGGCGCTGTTCTGCATCGACAGGTGCGGCCGGCCCGGCCACTGCCCCTGTCCCTGTTCCTATCCCTGTCCCGGCCCCTGCTCCTATCCTTGTCTCTGCCCCTGCCCCTATCCCTGTTCCTATCCCTGTCCCTATCCTTGTCCCGGCCCCTGCCCCTATC